TGTCAAAACATTGTCCAAACGTATGAGTTGGGGATTGAACTATGTAGACTCTTTTTAAATTACAAAATATGCGTTGATTGCCTTATAAACGGACTGAACGAGACTCAGTTGGGTGAATACATAATACGGTGATGAAGAAAGTTACATTTGACGATAGTAACAATCGCGTGTATGTACTGATCGCGTGGTCCTTTGCATATAGTGCGGCACGAAAAGGGCCTTGGGAAACTATGGCCTTGGATAGATTTCGCTTTAGTACAAAAATAGAGCAATTTTGTAAGATATTGTCTCCCGTCTTAGCAGAAAATCATCGTTTATCAGTTTATCTGACTAGATTTCAAGGACACCAGAACTCAATGTAATGGTATATCGCACTAGATTTCAAGGTCACCAGACAGTAATGTTTATCGCATTAAATTTCAAGGTCATCAGACAGCAATATAATGGTGGTAGAAACTGTGAATGGAATCAGTCGAATAGTGTTCGCTAATCAGTTAAAATGGATCTTAATCAACTCAACAGTAGCACCTACTGCAAACCTTTCAAGAACGTCAAGGATATGAAGGTCGGTGAAAAGTATAAAGTGATTGGTATCGACCTAATCAATACCAAATATGGCGACCGAATACTGATCGATACTGAGAACTTTAAGTGCATCCTTCCTTTGCGCTTTTATGACTACTTCAAGAGCGACAACCGTCTGCAGATCTTCAAGGACACCTTGTCCAGGGAAAAAGTGTTTATAACAAGCGCCGGAACGGCGGGGAAGACTACTAATTTAACATTTATGTAAAAAAGTTGTAAATGAGATAGAGAGAAATAATAAAATGTTGTTGATGAGAGAGAGAAATTGTGTCTCTTATTTAAATGCATATCCACCCTTAGAAACACTTTAGTTGTTCTGTGATCGTGGGGTCGAGATCATCTCAACGAAAAAAAGCTCCAAAATGGATACAATCAGTTGTACTAATAATTATTTCTCGTGCTCGTGCTGGTGCTGTAATAACAACAAAGACACTAGTGATGATTCTATCACCCAGTTTGCCGAAAATGTGCATAGTAAAGCTGCCGACGAACGTTTAATCGATTGCTCATCATATGACCTCTACGATGGTGAAAGCAATTCGAAGAAATATATTGAAATTGGCTACAGTACGCATCTTAATTTGGCCCCAGTTTTACGAATTGTGCACTCTCCATTAAATGCGATAGTGATGGTGAAAGAAGATTGGGAAATGCTTCTAAAGCACCAAACATATCTCGAGATGAAGTTCTTTAGATCTCAAGAGCTCGAAAATTGGATCGACTGGTCCAATGTTAAGGAAGAAGATATTGAGCACGACAAAAGTTCTGAATCGCTTAACGCAAATTTTACTATTCATTATAACAGGAAATTTGTGCGGGATCCCACGACGACTGAGAAAATATTAGAGAGCGTAACAATACAACGTGATAAGCTGCATTATTGCACGATGAGTAAGTACGTCGTTGAAGAATTGTTTAATCTAAAAGATATAATCAACTATCGTTTGGATTTACTGGAATCGTACGCTCTGTCCTGTTTCTATCAGGATGTTATCGAACAGGTGATTAACTACCGTCATTTTCGTAAAATGGAGTTTGGTAACGAGGACGAGGGCGACGATGACAACATCTATCGCGATATTGAAGACGTATTAAACTATAAGTTTAACGTCAATTCTCATAATACAGTTTGCATGATGGAATTATTATACTATCGACCTACTTATTTTATGTATCACATATGTCAATAAACGTACTTTATTTGAGCATTTTTGTTTTATTTGATGGATGGATTTCCTATAAATATGGCAACTTATTGCCGCAATTCAACAATGTTGAATCGGAAGCGGAAGTGTACGGATGGGAGTGGCTTGGTTAATAATCTCATAAACAAACTTCCAGTGGAACTACATATTCCTGGCTATCAGTATTGCGGACCTGGATGCGATGACGGGTGCTCACAGAAATGCCTAACGAACTAGATAAATGCATTCATGATTCAGGTAAAAGAAGAGTATACGGATTCAAGAACGAATAATCGTGCACCTAAAAATAACTTTACTTAATGTGTACCTAAAGCAAATTTTAATAATTTGGTTTCATTTTGTATAAAAAATTATGTCTTAATTAAACACATCTAATTAATTATAACATCGCCTATCGCTTGAAGGTATTAATCCCATTCAGAGGTACCTAATACCATTGAGTAATAAATAAATTCTTTACTCAATGCTAATACGTTATTAGCTTATAGTTACGATTCGAGGTAAAAAAATGCACCTATTTATCACACTGAGGACATGTTTAGCTACAAGCATTTTACGTGAACAGTGTGGATAACAATTTGCGCGATTAAAAATGACATTCCTCCTTCAGTCATATCCAATAGTTTTCTCGTTGTTACAGTTTAGTAAACTTATTGGGAACGCAAAAGACTTTGTGTTCGTCAAGAACGTACCTACACCTACTCCTAAAAATAACTAATGGAAATGAGAGAATTGCGATAACGTTAATCGCATTCATAATCTCACTAATGAAACATTTCCAAAGCATTGGGTCTATTTTCAATTATAATACAGGCATTTATGGGGATTTTTAGCGAAAAATTACTAGGTACGATTTTAATTACAAGGCTAAGAAGACTAAAATTTTTTCCTGGAACGGCGTTTCAAGTCCAACAATTTTTAACCGCAACCAGATTGCATCAAGGACATTTTTGTAGGAAATACTGCCTTCTTTAGCATGATTTAAAAATGATATAAGCAAAGCTTCTCTCGTTTCTTCGAAATTGACTTTCATATCTGCCCAACATTTTACATACGTTTACGTAGCATGTTTTATTTCTGTAAGTTAGTTCGATGCTTTAATGCAATTTCAAATGGTGTTCTTAGAAAAAATTGCGTTTGAGGAAAATCGGGCGATGACGTGAAGATACGAACTGCTCCTGCAATTTCCTGCGAACAACGGTCAAAACAAAAGACACTTTGTACATTGTACTATTTTAGTTCTTGGAAGGCGATGTGCAACACAAAAGTGCTGATCAAAATAGCCCTTTGCACTGTTCGGGATTTAAGAGGCGTTTTGCATACATGTGAAAAATGTCTAGCATAAAAAATTGTCACATGCAAATGCCAACTATAAAGTTTCATGACTTTCATTGATACATCAGAGTCTTATAATTACAAGGCGTTCAAGGATGAATAATTGCAGGCGCCCCTTCTAAAGTTACAGGGGAGGCGCGTGCAGCAGCTCATAGAAATATGCAATTTTTAGTTATTGTATAAAAATATTTATTGAAAAAATGACCGTATGCATTTTTGAATAAAATTCTTTCTCAGTTAGACCTCTATTTGCATCGCTAAACAAAGATTTAGAAACATATTTATATACACCATTTCATGCGGGAGTTTCACATGTGCAATTAATAGACGCAAATCTATACCTTCCCCGTTTAACGTCCCCAAAAACCAACCAAAAATTACAATAAATGAAAATGCCGCATAGAGTGTCTCCGGAGGGCATAAGCATGATTAAAAATTAATTTCTCCATGTCTCTCTCATCGAAACTTTATACTGTTTAATAATTACACAATTACTATTCTGCAACCGGGTGGTTGTTGTCGAAACTAAGGAGCTTACCTGAACTAAATGAAGGTTAAAGGCGATGACTCATAGAAAATTCTGAGAAGTGAGAACAAAGGAGGCAGTCTTCTTGGAAAAAGCCATGACTCATAGGATGGTAATATAAAGACACCCGTGAACCCTCAGTTCAAACAGATAAACGTGTGCAAGTCGCACATCTGTGCAGTGACATTGCAACGTAACAGGCGTGTGCAAATATGGTATCATCATCGGTAGGATTAATGAGCACTCGGATCGTAAATCTGACACGGGAGTGTATTTCATTATTAAAACATAGGGATGAGATTGTTCGTCATTTATCAGTTTTACGTGATAATGTTTCCATAGTAGAATGACCCCAACACCGAGGACAGTAACCCATGGGGTGACTAACCTAATGGCCTTCTACTTAGCACACGCGCAATAGTTCAAATGACCTGTGGTTCATTACCTACGCCGGAAGGCTTTGGGTAATTATTTTGAGGAATATATGAGGTACCCCGTGACAGCCAACAATGGCATGTCTGCCTGTTAGTCAATGAATTATTTTTACATTACAGCCAATCATCGCAGTCAACCGCTTTCAAGGTTACGAGTTGGAAATATAAGCTATGGCGAGCAGTACAGTAGTGCTAGTCCAGTAGTACGTAGGTCTCGAAACAGTTTGGTGAATCAGTAGCAGAAAATGGTTATTGCTATTGACGTTCAAGGATTTAAAACATCCCCAACGACATTTACGCCAAAGGAGTTGGCGGTATTTAATGGGCACCAAGTTGCACATATTGTGTTCAAACCTCCATTTTCATTTAGCAGTTTAGATGTGAACTACCAGAGACAAGCTATCTGGCTGATGCACAACCACCATTGTATTAAATGGGAAGAAGGACATACACCGCCCCACTTATTTCCGATTATACTTCGCCGGCTAGTATCACCAATGGAGGCTATATATGTGAAGGGAAAGGAGAAGGCAGAATTTATACGAAAAACCTTATCGCAGGATGTCGTCGAGATCAACGAGGAACCTGCATTACCTAAATTGGAAGCCAGCTGTTTATATCATTCCTATCCAAAATGTCATTGTGCATTGGCAAACGTGTATTACATACATAACAACTATACAATGTCGTAATTGTTTAGTAAATAAAGCGATAAAAGTGTAACATTTCTTCTTTCTCTTAATGCCCTATAAATAAGGATGCGGATGTGCAAACGGTCGTTTCAGGAAAGGTTTCGATCACTATATAAAACCTACCGTGAAAAGGTGTTTATTTTTCAGTTGGAAAATACTGCTATCAAGTATATCTACAGCTTTCAAAATAAACAGCTTCTGATATAAACAGGTAAGCAGATAAACAAATAAACAGGTAAACAGATAAACAGGTAAACATATAAACAGGTAAACAGATAAACAGATAAACAGGTAAACAGACAAACAGGTAAACAGATAAACATGTAAACAGATAAACAGGTAAACAGATAAACAGGTAAACAGATAAACACTTTCTTGCCTACATTCACCATGGATAAATTCGGACGTTCTCATACGCATGCTCAATTTGGAAAACTGTTAAAGACAATTTTCCATTACCGACGATACGATAAATGTAGAAAATAAGAGACTAAGTTATGTTGTCTACCCTATTGAACGTCACGATGCCCTAACGTTGCAACACTACCTATCAACAAGACTAAATCTCAACGGAAACCGGTTAATGAACCTCGCCGATCCAGTAGACGACCGCGATGCCATAAATAAAGGGTACCTCACACAATACATGCAGATTGCGAAAGCGCCCGTAGACAGTCTTCGCAATTACGTAGCGGTACTAGAGGAAGAGTTGAAAGCGGTCAAAGAAACTTTACATAAACTAATAGAGGATGCAGCAGGTGGTGAACGAGTTACACAAAGCGGCGCGCAAAAACTTCCCTCGTAGACGTACCATCATTAAAGGCTTCGATGATCTTTGGCAAGCAGATCTAGCCGAATTTATACCTTACGCAAAAGAGAATAAAGGCTATAAATACATATTAGTAGTTATCGATTGTTTTTCAAAATATCTATGGACGCGAGGGTTGAAGACTAAAACGGGTGAGGAGGTGACAAAAGCCGTACAGGCTATTTTCAAATCTACGAGACGCAGACCGAAAAATCTACAGACCGATGCAGGGAAGGAATTCTATAACAAATCATTCGCCAAATTAATGATGCAAGAACGCATTAATCACTATTCCACGTACAGTACGAAAAAGGCCGCACTGGCCGAGAGGGTTATAAGAAGTATAAAAAACCCCTTGTACCGGCAGTTTAGTTTACGCGGAAAATATGTATGGATAGATGCAATCGAATCGATCACGAGCGAGTACAATAATCGTAAACATCGAACAACGGGGATGAAACCGATCGAAGTGAAGGCCGATACAAAGCTGGACGCCTACAACCACATCAAGCTCTTCAACAATAAGAAATGCCGTTTTAATGTCGGCGATGTAGTTCGAATTAGCAAATTTAAATCCATATTTGCGAAGGGCTACACCCCCAATTGGTCCAGTGAGCTGTTCAAAATTATAAAAGTACAAATAACAAATCCGGTCACGTATTTGTTGGAAGACATGAAGGCTAAACCGATTTTAGGTGGATTTTACGAACATGAGTTGCAGAAGGCCAAGTATTCGGACGTATATTTGGTTGAAAAAGTCCTGCGTCGCAAGAAAGACAAAGTGTACGTGAAATGGTTGGGTCTGGACGAGAAATCGTGGATTGATAAAAATAATGTTGTTCTATAAGGTTATGATGTGTCGATTTGAATAAATAAATAACTAAAAACTTAAATATTTACTTTTTATTATTGTAATTCACCATACAACATATTTCCTAGTGTCTCTTTTTCTCGATGTCATCTATTCCACCACCCTCCTTTTTTATCGAGATATTTTTCAATTGTTGTTAGAAGTGATTATTGAAATATGTCGAACAATATCAGATTCCATTTTCCATCATATCTACCCATAACACGGTGCTGCGACAAATTCCAAGAGTGGCAGGAAATTCGTTATCGTATCTTACATAGATAATCGTTTGTCCCAGACACTCACACCCCACACTTCTTGTTAGGGGTTATGCAAAATTGACGAAATGCGATATACAGATACTACGTCAATGATGCACAGAAGTCATGAGATCTCACGGATTAAAGCTCATTTAAAGTTCATCTTCCCAGTACATTAATGAATATTATCATTGTTAAACTGAGGTGAATGGTCTCTGCCGTCTTCTGGGAATCTTCAATGTTGCAGGTGTTTCACGGGTATCATTTGGGACAATGGTTGATATGTGTGTGTGAGAACGTCCTTGATGTTATTTTAGAATCACTCTTTTGCTAACTCCAACAAAAACCTCCACATATATACCTAGGGGTAGACATTTTGCGGCACAAGTGTTAATCTGCACGTTATCGTCATGTCTTCAACCAAACGCGCCAACAAGTTGACTTTAAAAAAAAGTGCAACGAGTAAGAAGCCTTACATAAATGCCTGTGGGGGTGGTGGACGCTCAATCTTAAAGACCGCCTTAGAAAAACCTACAAAATTATCCGATGGTGATGTGATCAACCTCGTCACGGAAGATGAAGAAGGACATCGGGAAAGGTAAGTTGTAAACTTGTATAATAATTTAGTACTCGCTCTCCACCATCCATATAGATACTAATGTTGTAGGTATTATTTTATTTTTTTTATAGAACAATAGCTACCACCACCACCACCACAAATGAACTGGAAGATTTTCTAAAAGAATATGAGGGAAATTTCAATCATGTTTACGCTCCTCCAATTACAACGATTCCTCCACCTCCCATGAGACCACCGGTGATAGATCCCAGACATGGCCAGCAACAACAACAGCAACAACAACAACAGTTAAGGTACAAATTATTGTTCACGAAAAATAAAATTTCTAATGCATATATGTTTTTTACAGCCAGTATCCATCAGTACAAATATTGGAGCACATTATAATTCCTGCGCCGCTACCCCAGGCAAATACTCAAACGCAGCCACCAGAAAATGGTAGCTTTACATCCACAAATCCTCGATGGGGTGGCATGCATCAATTTCCGTAAGTTTACTCATTACTGTACCTCCGTTTATATGAAAAATACTAATTATTCTAATGTTACGTTACAGAAATAATCCAGCTCAACAACAACAACAACCAAATTTACCACTACAGCTACCTGTAAATAACGGCGGCAACAATCACTTTCAGTAAGTTACTTTTATTATACATACAATCTATTTTTAATACTGTGTTTTTCTTATTGTTACAGTGCCCCGTTGCCTAGGGGGGAAAAAGATATGCAATTACTAAGAGAATTTTATGAAAACGTCTCTCCGCCGTCTTCAGCAGCCATCGACCAAGAAGAGGCGCCACCACCACCGCCGCCATCTCATGAATCGCCCAGATGGCGCGAGCCATCCACACCCCAAGAGCTGGCGATGTTATCAATGGGGTGTCTGGAGAAGATGCTGACAACTTTCCAGGCCAGACAAAGAAATTCCCAACTCCAGACGGAGCGTTTAGAACGGGAGTTGGATGCATCACGAGTTCAAGATGAAAACCTGCATCGAGAGATGAAATTTATTATAAGTTACATGGAATTTTTAAAAAATAATTAATTTTTCTTTTCAAATTTAACTTCACATTTGTAATTAATAAGTAAAACATTAATGTAATGTACCTAATTTGTAGAAAATACATGGATTATTTAATGCGATTGTTGATATTAATTAATTTAGTTTATCTGCCACAAACATTCACGGAAATGTAATATTTACGTACCTACCTGAGTTCGAGTGAAAATACTAATCCGAATTAATCATTATCACAAAGAAACACCAAAATTATTTTCCACAACACATCGCGAATCGGCGAATATCACTGTGCAATGAAATGAGTGCATACGCAAGTCGGCATAATGCGAGCTGATAATTTTCTATTTTTACCAAATGCGCGATACCATGCAGAACGTCTATTCACGGTAGGTACAGTGTACTCGTTTTTAAAATTGAGAGTTCATTAAACACCAATCCCCAAATTTTTTTAAAGAGGCTGGTTCTAAAGGATGGATGTCGGGGGAAAATGAATAAGCACCCTTTATACATTCTTTTAATTCGCAAACTTTACATACAAATTGTCTTAATTGGTACACAAGAAATAACCATCGTCGTCGTATTTATGCCATTGCCTCACACACAAAGAAATAATCCTTGCCTTAACTGCCACTGTATGAATCATTACAAAATCAGTTTTTTCATACGGCGCTGACAACCCAGCATTTCAACATCCCACTTTAATTTTCTAATTTTCAGTAACAGTTCGTCAATTCTTTTTTTCCGTTGCTGCTGCTGCTGCTGTGGATGATGATGAACAATGGCTCTTGACATCTCGCCTATTATAGAATTATAAATTATTGAGCAAAGACCCATTACAACAAACACTTATATTAATCTGAACCACACCCATTCTTAAGTCGCCTTGATCACCCGAAAACAATACACCCTTTGTTCTCAAACTCCGCTCGACAGACAAACACCGCATGGCCTTGAAAGTGAGCCAGTATCGGCACGCATTAAGCTTTGAGTGAGCCAAAATCGATATGACCTTAATGGTCTTCTGTACCCACTGCATCCAATGTAAATTTCCATAAGAGCGCCCGCCATAAAAACTATAGTTGTTTTTCAAAGACAATTTTTTTAAGAACTATTTTATAAATTTAGACCTTTATCTACAAAATGTTCGGACTATTTTTTTTTAAGTTTATACCAACTGAATACCGATTGTTTAAAGATTATATGTTTCGCACCGATTATTGCGCTAATCTGTTTTATTTTTTTACTCTCGATCAAGACGATTTATGGAAAAAGTAAACCGACAGTTTTTTAGATAAGTTACTTCTAAACATGACCCCAAAAAATGAAGTCATAATTTTTGTAAATAAAGTCTGTATCTTGGCGGGCGTTAAATCAACAATTTGAGTGTAACAAGTGGCGCCGCTGCACAGTGTCGGTGGGAACTAACTAAGGACCAAGACAGGACTTAACAAAGCAAGAATATCATCTTATCTCTTGCAGCTATAATCATCTATACACTATAATGTAAAAAAAAGTTGCGCTTAGGTAAAGAAGACTCTTAACGGCGCGGCGGTTCGATTTACTTAACGATCTGGGATAGCGGTTGAATTAGCGATTTATACGTTCGTACAAACTCCACTTCTTTAATAAAACGATCCGCTTTGAGACGATTATACTTTACACGCTTAAACTATTCGTCGTTTCAAGGCCATTTCTTTAGTATCCATGATGATGCAATCAAGGGAATAGGTAAACAAACAGGGGGAACAGCCTGTTTATTTTGAAAGCTGTTTATTATAAAAAAATGTCGTCTAGGGCATTTATGCCGGGATCGCCTCGCTTTAGCCTTTTATCTAATTTAGTACCAGGTCCGCAATACTGATAGCCAGGAATATGTAGTTCCACTGGAAGTTTGTTTATGAGATTATTAACCAAGCCACTCCCATCCGTACACTTCATCACTTCCATCAAATAAAACAAAAATGCTCAAATAAAGTACGTTTATTGACATATGTGATACATAAAATAAGTAGGTCGATAGTATAATAATTCCATCATGCAAACTGTATTATGAGAATTGACGTTAAACTTATAGTTTAATACGTCTTCAATATCGCGATAGATGTTGTCATCGTCGCCCTCGTCCTCGTTACCAAACTCCATTTTACGAAAATGACGGTAGTTAATCCCCTGTTCGATAACATCCTGATAGAAACAGGACAGAGCGTACGATTCCAGTAAATCCAAACGATAGTTGATTATATCTTTTAGATTAAACAATTCTTCAACGACGTACTTACTCATCGTGCAATAATGCAGCTTATCACGTTGTATTGTTACGCTCTCTAATATTTTCTCAGTCGTCGTGGGATCCCGCACAAATTTCCTGTTATAATGAATAGTAAAATTTGCGTTAAGCGATTCAGAACTTTTGTCGTGCTCAATATCTTCTTCCTTAACATTGGACCAGTCGATCCAATTTTCGAGCTCTTGAGATCTAAAGAACTTCATCTCGAGATATGTTTGGTGCTTTAGAAGCATTTCCCAATCTTCTTTCACCATCACTATCGCATTTAATGGAGAGTGCACAATTCGTAAAACTGGGGCCAAATTAAGATGCGTACTGTAGCCAATTTCAATATATTTCTTCGAATTGCTTTCACCATCGTAGAGGTCATATGATGAGCAATCGATTAAACGTTCGTCGGCAGCTTTACTATGCACATTTTCGGCAAACTGGGTGATAGAATCATCACTAGTGTCTTTGTTGTTATTACAGCACCAGCACGAGCACGAGAAATAATTATTAGTACAACTGATTGTATCCATTTTGGAGCTTTTTTTCGTTGAGATGATCTCGACCCCACGATCACAGAACAACTAAAGTGTTTCTAAGGGTGGATATGCATTTAAATAAGAGACACAATTTCTCTCTCTCATCAACAACATTTTATTATTTCTCTCTATCTCATTTACAACTTTTTTACATAAATGTTAAATTAGTAGTCTTCCCCGCCGTTCCGGCGCTTGTTATAAACACTTCTTCCCTGGACAAGGTGTCCTTGAAGATCTGCAGACGGTTGTCGCTCTTGAAGTAGTCATAAAAGCGCAAAGGAAGGATGCACTTAAAGTTCTCAGTATCGATCAGTATTCGATCGCCATATTTGGTATTGATTAGGTCGATACCAATCACTTTATACTTTTCACCGACCTTCATATCCTTGACGTTCTTGAAAGGTTTGCAGTAGGTGCTACTGTTGAGTTGATTAAGATCCATTTTAACTGATTAGCGAACACTATTCGACTGATTCCATTCACCGTTTCTACCACCATTATATTGCTGTCTGTTGACCTTGAAATTTAATGCGATAAACATTACTGTCTGGTGACCTTGAAATCTAGTGCGATATACCATTACATTGAGTTCTGGTGACCTTGAAATCTAGTCAGATAAACTGATAAACGATGATTTTCTGCTAAGACGGGAGACAATATCTTACAAAATTGCTCTATTTTTGTACTAAAGCGAAATCTATCCAAGGCCATAGTTTCCCAAGGCCCTTTTCGTGCCGCACTATATGCAAAGGACCACGCGATCAGTACATACACGCGATTGTTACTATCGTCAAATGTAACTTTCTTCATCACCGTATTATGTATTCACCCAACTGAGTCTCGTTCAGTCCGTTTATAAGGCAATCAACGCATATTTTGTAATTTAAAAAGAGTCTACATAGTTCAATCCCCAACTCATACGTTTGGACAATGTTTTGACACTGTTCCCTAAAAGTCTCAGGTCCATAGACCGCCTCATGCTCAGCATCAGATAGCAATACCAATAAGGTTTGATGAAGGCATTCAACAGCCGTTCGCCGCATATTCCCCCTTAACACTAACCACATTTCAAGCTAACATCTTCTAATATCTATATTTAAATTGCAACACGTTTGACCTTGAGGCGGCACCCCAGAAAAACACAAACAATTTGATTACACACAAACAACATACACAACCTCCCTTTGTTCTCAGCGATCGACCTTGAAATCCAATGGCCTTGAGCCGCCGCCACCCCCCCTCCACACAAACAATACACCCCTTTGTTCTCACAACTCGACCTTGAAATCCAATGGCCTTCACCCATCACCCCCTCCGAAAAACACAAACAATACCCCCCTTTCTTCTCAACACTCGACCTTGAAATCCAATGGCCTTCAGCCATCACCCCCCCTCCGAAAAACACAAACAATACACCCCTTTCTTCTCAACACTCGACCTTGAAACCCACCCACCCCCACTTACGCAATACCACTTTGACCTTCAACACCACTTTGACCTTGAAACGCTAACACTTCAATCATATGGCACTTTTCCATGTAAAGTGAGCCAGGATCGGCCTTACTATATCTACTGACAGAGATCCCCCTTGTGGTCCTCTCTATCGGATCGCGCTGGCCGACGGAGCGCGCGTTCCAGTATAATTATAGTTCAGTGGACAAGAATGTTGAACCTGATGATTGAAGAAAAGAGGCCGTGTGGAATACCGATCAGGAGGTGGACAGATTGCACCAAGAAGGCTATGGTTTAGAGACACCTGAAGTAGAAAATGCCGAAGAGATAGAAAAAGAATTAATGTTTACCCAAAATGGATGATTTTGGGTAAACATTTCAGGACGTGAAACGTTCATTTTCATGCCTACTTTCTGTCAGGAAACTTTTGTTAGGAAATTTTAGTTTGCATTACAGAGGCAGAACAGACTCCGTTTCCTGCCACTTGTACTTTACTGGCCGCACCTGTCACTTTACCGGCCACACCGTCACTTAACCGGCCGCATCTGTGACATTTCTAAATGTCTATAATAACTCCTGTCATCACTGACAGGTTGACATTACTCAAAAGTTCTATATAAAAACTGAAATTTTATATTAAAATTCGATTTTGAGTAAAATTTAAAACAAAACTCGTCAGTAAAACTCGGAATTAAAATACTCTGCCCCAAAGGGGCCTCGTACTTCAATATTTCCTTGCCCCGTAATGTGTCATTTTCCTAACTTTTATGTAGATAACTATTGTAACTTTTTTTTCCAGTAATTTAAGTATAATTACCTTTTGGGTAATGTGAATTGTACAGAAAACTTTAATTTTTGGGGCCTCGCCCGTAAGATAAATAAATAAATAAATAATAAATTACGTAAAGAGCCTTTCTATTCTTAACTTGCACTTAAACGGCGCAATTTGTAATACAAGAACGTTGGTTTTTACGAATAATAAAAAAATTACTGTAGCTAGCACAGATACCACCCGCGCACCTTCGAGTACAGACAGACAGGCAGGCAGACCGGCCGGAGATTTTGTCTGATTTCCATTAAAAAAAAGTGGGAGGTCATTTTTTACCCCAAAACATTACTC